TCACACCCACACACATATTATACACATGTATTATACACGCAAACAAACGCTTTTACACATATTACACACACGCGCGCGCACACATGCGTACACACACGCTTTTTCTACCCCCACAAATTCCCCGATCAGCCTCCCCCCACAGAGTGGGTGGTTGGCGGGTGCTCTGGTGTGGTTTGCTCCTTCTTTCCTGTAAAAAAAAAACTGTCATCTCTATCTCCCCTCCTTCTTTTTTGTGATTTTTAACTCTCTTGTAACACCTCTAATCTTCGGCACTTATATAACCTTATTGTGTTGCAATGCAAGTGTCGTAAAACTCTTACTAAAACTTTTTTAAAACCCCCACAGAGTCAGACAATCCAGCGTAAGCTAGAAGCCCTCCCCAGTCAGTCAAGCAACAAGAACCCAGTCATGGTGCTCAACGAGATCCACCGCGGCGTCAAGTTTGACCTTGTCTCCGAGATGGGCGAGAGAAACTTCCGGATATTCAACATGAAGGTCTGGGAAACCACAATCACCCTTCGACAACGTGCCTTATTATTGTTGTTGTTGTTGTTGTTGTTGTTGTTGTTGTTGTTTTTGTGTACTTTATGTCTCTGGCAACACTGTGTTTGTTTATTTGTGTGGCTAGCAACGCTGTTTAGTTTGTTTATTTGTGTGGCTAGCAACGCTGTTTAGTTTGTTTATTTGTGTGGCTAGCAACGCTGTTTAGTTTGTTTATTTTTGTCACCAGCAACGCTGTTTAGTTTTGTTTTATGTCTCTGGCAACACAGTGTCAATTTTGTTTTACATCTCTCACAACAATGTCTAGTTTGGTTTTATGCCTCTTGCAACAGAATGTCTTTTTTGGTTTGTTCGTCTAATTTAGTTTTATATTGTCACTCGCAACACAATTTTTAGTTTGGTTTTTATATATCTTGCAATACAATGTTTAGGTTACTTTGTGGGTCTCTCGCAACACAATGTCTGTTTAGTTTGGTGTTATGTCTCTCTTTCTTTCCTTTCCCTTCTTTCTTGCTTTGTCCATGCGCTAAATGACCCTAATCCTGTTAATGTCTTTTTCGGATATGTACTCAAACTCACCACCCTGCAACAATATGCCGAAGGCCCAGGAAGTTGTCTCACTAACAAGGCAGTCCCCAATGTCCGGTTCTGATGCAGGAACAACTTTTTACTCAAACTCAACACTAAGTGATTGACCTGTGTCTGTGGTATAAAGATTAGGCTTTTTGCCAATGCACGCAGAAGATGTGACATCAATTCCCAATTGGCGAGGTATTTTTAACATCTCGTAGCTCCATTTGATCCACATGTCTTATGGGACATTACATCCTTCTCAGTCTAGGTTGACTACCCTGGTGACATGCAGGATGGAAGGAAATGGTCTCCTTAACCTTATTTGTGCGCCTGGGGTCATTTTGTACCCCAGGGGTTGTATTTGTCACATTTTAGAATACTTCTAGTGCAAAGATCTCTTTGAAACTTTCGGTATTTCTCAAAAAAATCATTTTGACTGATTGCTATACAAATACAAAGCATACGGATCTGATTAACGAGTAAATTTTCTCTTTGGAAAGTGGTGGCACAGAGTTCCCCAGGTCATATGGATATGATAGTAAAACACGACGTACGGATAAGGTTAATTATCTTAAGTGTATTAATGGGGTGTAAAACGTCTACAATGGCAATGACTATACATGTACTCACAGGTGACGGTGGGCTCGCGGGAGTTCCAGGGCTCCGGGCGCAGCAAGAAACTGGCCAAGTACAACGCCGCCCTCAACGCCCTCAAGATGATGCATGGGATCAACCACTTTGAGAGGAGAGGTGAGTGGGCCCCTGAGGGAGGGATGGACTTTTATGTCTCTCCCAACACTAATTAGGGTTTTTATATGTCTGTGGCAACACCGTCTAATTTAATTTGGTTTTACGTCTCTCGCAACACTGTGTAGGTTTGTGTTTTTTTGTCTCTCACCACAATGTTTGATCTAGATTGGTTCTAAGTCTCTTACAACACTATCTAAGTTTGTTTGTGGGTGGTTGGCGGGTGCTCTGGTGTGGTTTGCTCCTTCTTTCCTCTTAAGCATCTATCGTCCTTATCTCTCCTCCTTCTTTTTTACGTTTGTTGTTACTCTCTTGTAATAACACCTCTAGTCTTCGGCACTTATATGACCTTATTGTGTTGCAAGTGCCGTAAAACTCTTTACTAAACTAAACTAAGTTTGTTTCAGGTCTGGCAGCACTAAGTTGGGTTGGGGTTGATTTTTTTATTTACGTCTCTTGCAATGCTTTCCAGTTTGGTTTTATGTCTGGCAGCACTATCTAGGTTGGGTTGGGTTGTTTTTTTTAAACCTCTCTTGCAATGCTTTTTGGTTTAGTTTTACGTCTCTCGCAATACTATCTAGTTTGCCATAAAATTCTTACTAAAACTTAATAACTAAAATCTCATACCAGTCTTGACATATGCTCTCCCCGTGGTTTTATGCACCCCGCATAATTTAGCAAAATTTGATCACTTTTTGCATAATTTCTGATTATTTTCCTTTATCATTCTTTGTTAACATTAACAGAATCGCATAATTTCACATTTTTGGGCTCAGTTTGCATAATTTCAGAATTTTTCTTGCATAAAACGACTGGGACAGCATATGTCTTCATCGCCTCAGAGAGCAGCAATGCTCATAATATCCTGATGTTATCTATTATTTGCGCTGGATCGATAACCACAACATCTATTATTTGCGCTGGATCGATAACCACAACATCTATTATTTGCGCTGGATCGATAACCACAACATCTATTATTTGCGCTGGATCGATAACCACAACATCTATTTTTTGCGCTGGATCGATAACCACAACATCTATTATTTGCGCTGGATCGATAACCACAACATCTATTATTTGCGCTGGATCGATAACCACAACATCTATTATTTGTGATGTGGCTTGTCTGTCTTGATATTCCTCTCCCTTCTACGTTTGAGTGTTGTTCTGTCTTGTCATTCTGGTGGTTGGCAGGTGCTCTGGTGTGGTTTGTTTCTCCTTTTGTATCAAATATCTATCGTCCTTTTGTGTGACCTAGATTCAATTTTTCTTTTCTTTGTATGTTACGTTTAGGAAACACTTCTAATCTTCGGCTCTTATGTGTTGATAGTGTCGTGAAAAAAACAAGACATGGGGGGGTTAGCAGGTGCTCTGGTGTGGTTTGCTTTTTCTTTCCTATCAAATATCTACCGTCCTTATCTGATCTCCCCTCCTTCTAATTTGTGTTTGTTACTCTCTTGTAACGCCTTTAGATCTAATCGTCGGCACTTATATGACCTTATTGTGTTGCAAGTACTGAAACAAAACAAAAAATCTATTAAGAAAAGTAGACTTAATCAAACTGTTCTCCCCCCCCATGCAGACATGACGTCGGTGAACGAGGAGGAGGTACAAGGAGACCCCCAGGAGTTGGCCGACCGCATCGCTCAGATGGTCTTCCACAAGTTCGGGGAACTCACTGACAACTTCACATCGCCGTACGCACGACGGAAAGTCTTGGCGGGCGTTGTCATGACAACGGGGGGCGCCAGCAATCCCGGACAGGTGTGTGTGAGAGAGAGAGAGAGAGAGAGAGAGAGAGAGAGAGAGAGAGAGAGAGAGAAAGAGAGAGAGGGAGAGTGAGAGAGAGAGACTGTTTCATGTTTGTGTGTCTGTTTTGTTTTGTGTATGTATGTGTATGTGTTTGTCTCATTTCTGTCCATCTATCTGAATGTCTCTTTCATTTCTGTCGACCAGTCTTATTCTTTCTTAGCTGCCTAGTGATAATATAATTACTTTTTCTACTATGACCGTGATAGTGTCTATGTGCCTTTCTTTGCTCTAACGCTATTAAAGTAATGTTGTGTTGTGGCCAACTAATTTCCCTTAATGAATGAATATTGCAATCAGTTCTTTTCTTCTTTTCCTTGTGTTTATTATTTCGTTCATTCCTTTCACACTTTTTTCTACCCCCCGGGGCAGTGCCACTGACTGTAGTGTCTCTAGGCCATTCCCAAAGAGGGGACATTTCTCGTTCAAGCATAGTAGAATTGTAAATGGGCTGAGTCATGTCACGCTCATAACTGTGCCTGATCTACAACAGGGAACTGCTGCTTTTTCTTTCCTGATCCTTACTATTGTCATTTTCCTCTACTTCTTTTGTATGTCTGTCACTCTTTTGTGACCTGCTATTTTGGGGTGCCTTGATTGTCAAAGCAGACCTTGTGCTGTTGAAGCTAGAGAGGTGAGCAGTCTGAGTCTGATTCCCTGTAAAGACTTCTCTGTTGACACCCACCCCTTGGCGCTCATATGACCTTATGCAGTTGCGAGCGCTGTAAAACCCTCTACTATAAAAAACAAAAACAAAAAAAACTCCCTTTTCTATGCGTCCGTTATCTATAGAGGGGACTGTCTCGATTATCTGCAATATTTATTGGCGGTTGTGTTGTCCATTTATATTGTCCTAAATGTGTTGCACGTGCCATGAAATTCCCACTGAAATTAAACTAAAAAACTCTCTCTCTCTCCCCCTTCCCCTCTCCCCCCTCAATTTTTCTCTTTCTCTCTTTCTCTCTTTCTCTCTTTCTCTCTGTCTCTATCTCTCTCTCTTCTTCTCCCTCCCTCCCTCCCTCTCACTAACAAGCTAAGAAACTGTAAAAGTATGGGACAAGATAACTAATGGACCCCTCCCTCACCCCAATCCGGCCCCATGTTGTGTGTGTGTGTTTGTGTGTGTGTGTGTGTGCGTGTGTGTGCGCATGCCTACATGCCCCTTAAAACTCTAATAACAACCAAAAAAACATCAATCTCCCCGCAGGTGGTGTGTATATGTGTGTGTGTGTATACATGCGTGCGTGCCCGGTAAAACTCTAACAAAACAAAGAC